GAGGAGCCGATATTCGTTCACTTTGGGAATTTTTCTCTATCTCTACCGTTATATGTTTGCTTGAGATTGTATTGAACGTGGAAGAGGTGGTGGACTTGGAACTCGGTTTTATGCCTTGTTATAAATTGAAGTGCTTGAAACTTTCGAGATTGTTAATACCTAAATGGTAGGAAAATTGTTTTTGTTGAATCCTAAATTTTTGTTGTTTTGAAAGTTTTGTGAAAGACCTTTTCTTTCAGGTTACCTTGGAAATCATGAACCCTGAACAAGAGAATTTCTTATGTGTATCTTGAATCGAAAGCAGACCCTAGCTGGATGTAGCCACGCGAAGTGGTGGTCGAGCACGCGCGCCCGTGCTGAGAGACGCGAGGCCCACTGCAGGGCCTACCGTTGACTCGCACGAGAATCATCGAACGCAGGAACTCCCCAGGCTAGTGTGTGCGGCCAAACCCCTCGACCTTGCAGCTGGTCTCCAAACAGGTGCACGCACGCGTCCCAGCGCCCCGCTTATGCAGCGCCAGCGAGCGTGCCATCTCTCGAGTGACAGTGCACTAACCCCGAACCCTCTATTTTCTTATGGGTTGTTGGACCAGCCTTCTTCGCCAAATTTATAGTTAACTTCTTGAACCTTTTTCTTCTGAACCGAGACCTCCAAGTTCAGTGAAGTTCCACTGAACTGCTGTATGATCTCCTTATTCAATGTTTTCGATTAAGGGAGGCTTGTCGATTGGTTCTTATGCCATATGCGGGATCTTTCTCGAGTGGCAAGATTGAGGTTCCGCATTGATGTCGGGCGAAATCTTGAGTCTCGATTGGAGACTATGTATGCTTCGTAGGTATTGAGACTACGAAGAGGGAGAGTGTAATGGAGCTAAACTGTTAGTATGAGGTACAGTGTCAACCGTTTTGACGTAGACGCACGGTTTGTGATGAGGTCGTGGGCAAGTCTTCGGCGTGATCCGGTCACGAGACTGAAGCTTGATGCCACATAGTGACCCCTGATGTTGGATGATCGTAGCATGAACACCATAATTCCAACCTTCAAT